GTTAAAAAAGCAATTTATCTGGCAATAATAGAGTCCGGGAGGGACGAGAGGCTGCCTCCCTGGGAAAACCCATGATTTAGCTGTAAATGTCATTAAAACAATTGATTCCGTTTGAAACATCAATTGTATGCTAAGGGAAAGCTATTTTAAAATAATAATTGTAAATGGACGCAGATGCTAGAGAGGGAAAAAGGAAAGGGAAAGGAAATGAAATTAGGATATGATTAATAATATGTAATCAGAGAGAATAAAACAAAAACATCAGAGAAATTTACTTGCGATGAAAGTATAAGAAAAAAACACGAGTGGGCTCATTGCGATTCGGAACTCGAACTATACTATCGTTGAGCAGTTTTTAGACCCCTACGTCACCGATAATCTTCTTGAGAGGTGAATATGGACTTTTGCTACTTCAGCAAGTCAAATCGCGGAAGGAGATCCATGGACTGTCCACCCGATGGGATGACGTCCCAGTCAAATGCGTTTTTGAAGAAATGATCGATCCCCATCATCGCTTCATCTCCACACAACTATTTATGTGCAAATGATGACATGCTCCGGCAACAAGGTTTTGTGACGAAATCATGTTTGCCTCCTGAGTTTCCAAAATTTATACATCTTAGTGATCTAATGTCCAATCACTGAGAAAAATGGCTCGCGGAGCGCGCCGAATGTCACTCGCGCAGCGAGTGATCAGGGGCCCAAGGGGCGCAGCCCCTTGGCTGGCCGTGACGGACGCGCAAGGCGCGTCCAGAACCGTCAGTACAAGATGTGACTGCAAATTGCCCAGATCAAAGTATTCCTACCGCAACAATTCATCTGTAATGTAATTATTTTATTGACTACTAGCCGCTGTAGCTCGCTTCGCTCGCCTCGCGTCTAGCCGGGGGCTCCGCCCCCTGGACCCCCGGTCACTCGCTTCGCGAGTGACTTACGGCTCGCAAGCGAGCCGTATTCCGTACCGTAAATGCAAAAAGATGATAAAGTAATGTAATCCAATAAGAACTCTTCTGAATACATGAATACGAGAGGCATTCCTTCCTAAATTAGTTTACCTGTTTTCAGTTCCGTAATGATCTTCCTTGTAAATTTTCAAAAGAAAAACGAAATTACGCGAAATTGCCAAGAAGCATTATGGATAGTTTTCCTGTAAGGGATTTTTCTTCGGGGGGGGGGATTAACTTTGAGTTAAATAAGGCGAAGTCCCTCCGGAATATGACAATGTAAGCCCTGCGCACTTGGTATTGGCCAGGAGGAGTAGCTCACTGGCGTCCTCCAGGACTCCAGCCAACACCACGCCAAAGCTACAGACTTAAACAATCATACGTCGGGTGGCGCCAGTAGTAGAGAAGTTTAGGACTTAAGAAAAGAGACAATTTCGAATGTTACATGAAAAAAAGCATCTCATGCATTTGGCCATCATATAAATGGATGTATTTTCAAATGAATTTCGCGCAAAAGTATGAACGAACGGGGTACAAAACGTATTACCTTATAAAAGAAGGATTTTCGGTTACTCGGCACTGACCGGCAAAATACATGTAAATTTGGAGTTACTCCTCCTAGTCGTTAGCTACTCACTCAAGGAACATTCTGCGTAAAAAATTCGAGTGAATTGTTTGAATGTGTAAATTATTAGACTCATTAATTAGTATACGCACTAAAAAGAGACAAACTTCATGCACAGGACGCAACAATCTCGCACATTTGCACCCAGAAAATATGAGTAGAAATTGTGTAGAACGTTTCTGGCGAAAACAGGTGTACAATAGCCTCGCACTGGGTTGGACACTAAAAAACCGAGGATATTCCGTAAAAAAAGAAAGGAAAGAAAGTATGAGTAGAAATTGCTAAATATCCATTCATCGACTGGCGCGGCCGCAAAAGAACGTATCTCGCGAATACAGAGGCAAAATAGTATCACTCAATATCGGACACTCACAAATCGGAACTGTTCCGTGAAAAAAGAAAGAAAAATTGAGCAGATATTGTTAAGTACCCATTGATCAACTAACATAACCGTAAAAGAACGTATCCGACGAAAGCAGATGAGCGATGGGCAACCTCTCAAAAAGTCGCGAGATTTCGAAATCTAATCAGTGTTGCTCTCGAGATGCAGGATGCAGCTAAGTTGGCAGCGTACACGAATAGACTGATTTTCGGAGCAACTCAGAGGAAGCAATTCAAAGGAAGCAATTCAGTCCTGAAAACATTTTGTTTCCTGTTTTTTCCCACGGTTTTCCTTTGCTCTTCGATAAAGGTAGCTGATGTAGGGGTAACGGGAGGGACAAACATAATTCTGCATTGGTAAGGAAGAACGCCGTATGAGTCTTCAGACGTTGCCAAATTTCCCCTGGAAAACCACTAAACTTCAGGAAAATTTTTGAAAATTTTGGATAATTTTGTTTTTAATTTGATCTAAAACGTCTGAAAATTTCTTGGGGAAAATATTCATAATTTTCCTCAAAAATAAACATTTTATCGAAGAAAATTTGGCAACTCCCGAATGTTCATATGTCGTTCTTCCTTAGCAGGGCAGAATTGCAAACACTACGCTTTAAAAAAGAGACCATTTTCGGTTTTCTTCAAAGTATTCGGACATAACTCCAATAAAAATACAATGAGAGGATTAGCGCGAGGTTTGGATGTCGCTCCCTGGTCGGAAAATCATGTTTTGACTCGTCTGCCGACAAAATCTCGTCAAAGCGTTCAAGAACAGCTGGGCCTGGACAGTCAGGAGACCAGGCGGCAGCAATAGATCTCAATTCGTCATCCTTTTTTCCCTTCCTGCTCGGCCTAGTGGAGCTCCAAAAAAATTGATGAAATTTCTCTCATCGGGTTCGATTTCAACTTTCTCAGTAAATTTACGCTCTGCTAAAAAAGTATATTACAATGAACTAAATTTCGTCGTGATATGTTGATAAGTAACGGAAATATCGTTCAGCAAGTTATAAATGCAGCAGTTGTGGTATCGATCTTAGTGTACCGTAGAATCATGTATTTTCATTAGTTTGACCACCATTCTGCTCAAAATTTCACCGCGAATCGAAAAATATACACTGTAAAAACAATTTCCGAATGATAGAAAAAATTGCATTTTTACTGTCTTTAAATTTTGAGGGTCAGATTTTGTTTGGCATATGAGACAATAGGGCTGCGATCCCGTAGCGAGCAGTCTCGGGCTCGAGGGTTGTTAGACAAAAGGACGGGAAAACCCATGTCATCGCACCGCTTCGACAGTTTTATGGAACCACGTATCTGGGGCGGCTTCCTTTTATTCAGACAGAGCAGTGCTGAGACTGAGTCCGAGTTTGACCTTCGGCGTTGGGCGAAGGCTGTGTAGTAGTAATATGGAGAGGGGTCTATTTGCATCTCTCAGCGGTTTACACAGATATGGCTGAAAAATTGGAAATTCTCATAGTTTTGCGAGCATCTAGGAGCTAGAAGCTTTCAATCGACCCAAAAATCGTAAAAATCGCCCCGGTAGATCTCTCAAAATAGGCGTTACAACAGGAACATAACCAATTCCCGGGAACTTAAGGCCGGAGGGGGGTGGATTTGGCTTTAAGAGCGTCTCAGGAAGAAGAGTCTGAAAAATTTGGAAGTCTGACAATTTTGCGAGCATCTAGAAGCTAGGAGCTTGCGGTCGACCCAAAAATCGTAAAAATCGCCCCGGTAGATCTCTCAAATTAGGCGTTACAACGGAAACATACCGCAACTCTCGGAAACTTAAGGTCGGAGGGGGGTGGATTTGGCTTTAAAAGCGTCTTAAGCGAAAGAGGCTGAAAAATTTGGAAGTCTGAAAATTTTGCGGACATCGGGACGTCAAGGGCTTTAACCAGAGTCAAGCATCGTCGAAATCGGTCCGGTAGAACTCCAGAAATAAGCGTTACAGTGAAACCCCCAACGATTTTATTTATATAGATTTGTCTTTGAGCAGGATTCAACTTTCTGGGTACTCACTTGAGTTACTTCAAGTTTCAGATAATATCAAAAGGGTTAACTTCAAGCGAATTTTATGTAAAAATTGTAAAGACACGAGCTTGGGTTGTACCCGTGACATGCCTATCTCAGAAACTTTTAAGTAAACACGTATTAATGGGTCAGTTTTGTCTAGAGAAATTCGCTGCCGAGCACAGGTTAACCAAGTAATCCTTGTGTAATTTTCTTCGTAGAATTCACATCTGTGGTCGTTGCGTTCGCACTTTAGTTTCAAACATGGAAACCCCATAAAACTGCCTAAAAATACAACCCCCCTCCCACAATATCATTGCTCCGATATCAATTTTGATGGCGGAACTGGGAAGAGCGCAACGTTTTACTCTCGAAATCTACAATTCAACCATCTACGAGCAAAATGCACGGTGCCACAAAATTAAAACCGATTTTCCGCTTAAAAGTTTGGAGGGGGGGGGGGCTGGCCCCTCAAATATGGGGCTGACCGGCCAGAGACATGGCATGCTCTCTTTTGACACTCATACGTAATCACAGTAAAGAAGGTGCCGGATTTTGTGGGACTGGAACCGGCTCAAAGCTTCCCGCGCTCCTTGAAAATACAGAGGAAAGTCACAATTTGTTTCAATTTTACTGCTATAAAGAGTAAAGGGAGCCCCTTTCATTAAGAATAGATGCGTCTAGTGTAGAGAAGGTAATTCTTGGTTGTCGTGTTTCAGAATCTCCACTGCTGATTTATATTTCATAGAGGAAACTATTTGGCGAATTTTCTGACATTTTTAGTTCTTAGCATTGCAAAATCATATGGAAAATCCAGTAAAGCCTAAACGATTTCCATGCATTTTCCCTTAATTGAAGTGGATGAAAGGTTAACGGAGATCCTGAGACACCGCGACCAAGAAATTGCCCTTTTTTCACCCAATGCTTCAAATTAACAATTTTCACACGGCTTCGTTACTCCACAAATAATTTGACCATGTAATTGCGATTCAGTGCATCTTGTGCTATTTCGGAATCTTACCCAACGTACGTGTTTTTGGTTTTAGGTTCAGTTGCAGAATATGATGAGTTCAAAGTTTGTCGAGTATTTCCAAGATGAAGTTTCAAAATGGCAGAAAAAATTGGGAAAAGTTGATCAAGTCGTGAATTTATGGTTAGAAGTACAGAGGACGTGGATCCACTTAGAGTCTATTTTCACAGGTTCGGAAGACATTCGACGACAACTACCCGCTGACTCTGCCAGATTTGACGCAACTGATCAAGAATTCAAGGTCATATCATTTAAAATGCACCTAATTTATATTTATCTTAAATACAATTGAAAATGAGTAGTCCTTTAGTACCTATACCTGGGTGAATTCAAATAAGGGTCAAAGTCCAGGTTCTCTTTCCTCCCAAAATTTGTTTGTGAATTTTTGGGCAAACCAAACTTTATTTTGACTATCAATAGGTGTAGACTTCAGAAATATAGCTCGTCGAGCTTAATAGTTGGGCTTTAACCCGACTTTCCACTGTCAAGTGTATCACTTCCCAAAATTTGCTCTAATTTTGCCTGATTTCCCGAATTCCCGTCTCAGAGGTGACATATGATACTTTTAATTGAAAATTGAACACAATTGTCATAAAAACATCGACGAGCATTATATTAAAGCATAATTGAAAACATGTAACCCTTTCATATCTTGCAGAACCAAATAAATTGAGAAAAATCATCCGTCATGAAAGATACCTATCTGGAGCTTATTCTGCTTGTCTTTTAGACAGTTTTGTCTGCTTATCGAAATGCCTACTGTTTTCCTTTAACACGAGAAGAAGATTTTATTTCTTGGAATATTGCAGTACAAAATTGATCAAAAACATCGAATTCTAAAACTTCAAGTGGGCGTGTACTCGCTGAAGTGGAGGTAAAGCCAGGAAAATTTTGAGGAATTGCATTAACTTATCAATTACACTGGTCAACCTTTTTTTTTTTTTTTTTTTGATTTTCCGAAGATTTACCAACGGTTTCGGAGTAGATTTTTGGCGCTGATTCCGCAGATCAATTCCGTTTACCTGTATCAGTGCGATGTATCCCGGGAAAGTTCGGAATTTTTCCGGAGAAATCGGAATTTTCCTTAAGAATCTAGCTTTTCCAGTAGAGTCAATTTTCCGGGAGAATCTGTGCACGATGGAAAAAACCCAGGAATTTTTCGATTTCGTAGCCTAAGAAACATGAGAAACCCTATTGCACCCCTATTAAAATTTCCTTTCTTTTCCAAATACCAAGGTTTTCCGGTCCAGTTTTATTAAAATCAATTAATTAGTCACCAAGGTAGTGTTTTAAGCCACGGCCATCATCTTAGATTTTCGAATATTGGAAATTTGACTAAAATTCAAGTTCCCCATTCAAAAATACCCGCGGGTACCAAGTTTCGCGTAAATCGCTTGATTAGGCGCTGAGATAGCATTTTAGGCCATGTCCGCCATCTTGGATTTTTGAATTTTGAAAATTCGACTAAAAATTCAAGGTCCCCATTGAAAAATACCCCCGGGTACCAAGTTTCACTTTAATCGACTGATTACGTGCTGAGATAGCATTTTAGGCCACATCCGCCATCTTGGATTTTCGAATTTTGAAAATTCGACTAAAAATTCAAGTTTCCCATTCGAAAATATCCTCGGGTACCAAGTTTCGCGTAAATCGATTGATTAGGCGCTGAGATAGCATTTTAGGTCATGTCCGCCATCTTGGATTTTCGAATTTCGAAAATTCGACTAAAAATTCAAGTTTTCCATTGAAATATACCCCCGTGTATCAAGTTTCACTTAAATCGGTCGAAAAGTGCGCCTACAGGGCTTAAACAAACAAGTCTCCGTTGATTAGGCGCTGCGATAGCATTTTAGGTCATGTCCGCCATCTTGGATTTCCGAATTTTCAAAATTTGACTAAAAATTCGAGTTCCCCATTTAAAAATACCTCCGGATGCCAAGTTTTACTTCAATCGGTAGAAAAGAGCGCCTACAGGGCTTAAACAAGCAAGTCTCAGTTGTAACAGTTTTCCACTCAGTCCCAGTAAACTGGGACACTGGGACAGGATGGAAACGTATGGGACAGGATGGAACGGGACAGGATGGAAATAAGCTGTTTTTTAAGCTTATCCCTAACAGTAAAGACAATTTTGGTGTTTTTTTTCACGGAATATTTAGTAGCACATCCGAGAGTATCGGAATAAGAAAAAATTTTCCCTAACGCACACTTCGAAAGTATTTTACGAGCTGATATTAGTGTGTGTGTTAATGCTTGACGCCCCGTTAGTTATCGTGTATAGCATTTTGTTTGGCATCGTTAATGGCGTTAATCTTGCACAAAAATTTGCGAATTTCAGAATTTTTGCCATCTGCGACGTGTGAACTATTCAATCGAAACAAAAAAAGTCGTTTTTTGGAAAAACCTCAGCGTTACGGCAATCATTTACTTTATTACATCGTTGCCATGTCTCTCCTGACTGTTGCTGACTGTTGCTCGGGACAATGAGTCTAGCGCATGAAAAAGTTACTGATGGAGCAAAATAGAAATTGACATATGTTTTTTCTCAAATTCAAAAGCATTACCTATCATCTCCGATAAAGTTTTCTTAAATAATCTCTCTGGTTATGCTGCAACATCGATTTAAAGTCAAGAACCAGGCACGGGGGACACGCAAATTTGGGACAAATGTAGGCAATTTGTACATTAAAAGTTCTCCTAAATTTTTATTTCAGTCCAAATAAAGTGGGAAATAGCGTGTAATAGTCAACAATAGTTTGGAAAATGAGAAAAAAATTTGATCTGCCCATGTTTCTCAGATTATGACGATTAAAACAGCTCGGGACACCAGATTAGACGCGTATTTGAACTCACCCACCTACCTATTGTGTTGCAGTATCAAGTGTACAGTCCTTATCTAAAGTTTTGATACCATTTTAATTATTAAGGATATAGTGATCAAAATGCTAAAACCGGTATTTTTGGGACAAAATTGCCGTTGAATGTTCAAAAAATATAGTTTTTCCAGCAGTTCTATTCGAGCTAGATTTCCAATTTTAAGCCATCGTTCATCTTTGGAATGTAGTTATCTCGGATCTTTTTCATCGCTTAGGAAAAAACATAGGTACCTGAGTTTAAGGTACCTTCGGTTAAATCTGTAAGTTTCTGCTTTTATACGACTTAAACAGCAACATTGATATTAAGAGTAGATCTGGATCTAATCCACAGGTTATGCTATGTGATATCCACAAAATTCCAAACATGGTGAATGCTTGCAATCGACCCCATCTTGTTGAAAGTCTTGAAAGGGTGAAATTTCAACTGACTAAATGTGAAAAAGCTCTTGCTCAGTACTTAGAATCCAAACGATGCATCTACCCACGATTCTACTTCATTTCTTCGGCTGATTTGCTGGATATTCTTTCGAATAGTGATAACCCTGAAGCTGTCAGCAGGTAAGTAAATTTGGCAGTCAACCAGCTTAATATCTACATAAGTTTCCTGAAAATGTTAGGACGCGCAGATTCCTCATAGAGCAGAGTCTTCATTATACGTATCCCCCAGTGGAAGTGAACCTCATGCGGCGGGAGGTCTGCAGGTGGTTAACCTTCCGCAGCGGGGACTAACCTCATGCAACCTCAAGCAAGCACCCGTCGCATGGGCTCGCATGGAGTTCACACCCTGTTCCAGGAAAAGCTCCATGAGGTGACGGGTACTACCTCCCGCGAAACCCAGTAACCTCCCGCCAACCTCCCGCGAACCTCCCGCAAGCCCTAATCACCTCAAGCAAGGGCCAGCAACCCCATGCAGCTCACTAATTACACTGCCTCTGCACACAGTGGGCAGTTCCAGATCAAAGGAAGGAGGAGTTGAGCTTAAAAATCAAATTTCTTTCTCAAAGAAGAGGAATTTACTAAAAAATTGAGTCAAAATTGCTCTAAAAATTAATGTGGTATTTGAATCATGTTAATCCACGGATTTCATCCTAAAGCTGGTCTCATTTCTGCGTTTAACACAGCCAGAAGTCAAGAAAATAAACTTCTAAGGCATAAATACATGTAATATACTTATGTCAAAAATCTGATGAGCCGTGAGATGCATGCCATCTTATGGAATCCAGGGCTCATCTGAAAATGGGCATGTGCTTTGGGCTGTTTTTTTTTTTT